GGAGCTGCCCCTCCTCCCCTTGCAACCCCCAAATGAGTCACAGCTCTCTGCTGCGTCCACTCTGCCCTGGCTGGACAGTGCTTGTCCCAGCTCCACACCCTTCCTCACCATGGGGTCCTTGATCTGCCCCCCCCCCCTTCCCTCCCCTTCTACCACACCAGACTTATCAGCTGGAGGCAGCTCTCTGTGCTGTGGAGCTGTTCTCCTTGTTGCCTGTGCTGCACTGTGGCTGCATGCATGCACAGGCCATTTATTGGCCAAGTTATCAGCCTGATGGGGCTGATTTCCAATACAGTAAATTTTCTTTATGTCTGTGCCAATCTGATACTGGACCAATGTATCAGTGCACCTCTAAATCTGACATTTAGGGGCCCAGATATCTTATCCTGGTGACAATTGTTCTGAATTGTGCCTGACTGCTGAGCAGTTTTGTTCAACTTATGACTCCAACCAGACCTACACCCTCTGGATATCAGAACCCATTACTATTTGGTTGTTGCTGCTTAGAATTGTGTCTTCCTTGTCACCTGTTGTGTTATAAATTCTCACATGAAGCTCCAAGTTGTAGTTCAGGGGTGGCCAACCTGTAGCACGAGTGCCAGAAGTAGGATAGGCAGCCTCTGTATGTGGCTAACTACAGATCAGGGAAGGAACAGACAGCAGAGCAGCAAATCAAACAAAGAAATGGGATCAGAGTGGCATTTGGGGAGGGTGCGGACCAGTTGGTGGCACACCTGCCAGAGAAGTTGGCTCCCACAGTTATAGTTGATCCAGTCAAAAAATGTGAATATTGTAGTATAGCAGAAGAAGAATCACTTTGGTCAGATTCTTTAATAAATTTGTTTCTGTTTTCAGTATAACTCAAACTCAAATGGATAAGCAGTGTAAACATTTAGAAGGAATCTTCATACTAAAACTGTCTTGGCAATGTGTTTGTTTCACGTTATTGCTTTTTAGTTTTACCGAAAGCAATCACTTGATGTACCATCCTACAAGAATTCTGTATTTGCCACAGCTGCTCTGAAACCTGGTCTCTTTATGTATAGTGGTTTTGCTAATAATGGTTGAAATTTCATTGACGTAATTTCACATGACAGTTGCCTACAGACATCCAGCTTATTTTCCCCATTTTATAATATGTGGTTCCGTTTCCCTGTTTTTGACGCTGATCAACCAGAAAACTCAGCTGAAAAATAACAAAGTATATGCATGCATTGTCTCCTTAGGATAAAAATATCAGTCAAGTATAGATTCATAGATTGTAATGCTGGAAGGGATCTCAGAATATCATTGGGCCCAGCCCCCTGCACCAAACAGGAAAGACAACTGGGTAGTAAATAATGTTTACTACCAAAATATAAATTCAACTGGTCTCTGTGTGAGCCCTCTGTAGAGATGCACAAGTTTCTTTTGCCAGCCTCTGGGGTTAGGTTCCTGAAAGTTCCCATGGTTGGCAAAACTGTGGTTGGCAAGACAAAAGGCTTATGGGAAAAATGGCAGGTGGCAAACTGATGCACGGCCACAGTAAACTAGTTACTCAAAGCTGTATACCATGGTAGCCAAAATGGTATATAGAACATTAAGCATGAATACTCAAAACTATGGTTGGCAAAACCGTGGTTGACCAGGGAAACCTGTATTGCTGAACTTTGGGAATTTCTTCTTTATTTCCCTTTCCAGTCCATGGAAAGGAACCTATTGAGGCATGCTTTGTTTGCAGCTTCTGTGCTATGTTTAAAAAAATGTAGCAAATTCACACGCCACTCCCTCCCACCTAAAAAATATAAATAAATAAATTTTAAAAAAGACAAAAAAAAAAGTTAATGATGATAGTGGCTGACTGGCCCTATTCGGAATCATTCACCCAGAAAAAACACCTATTTTCTGTGGGTAAGTGGATTTTTAAGACTCCTATTAAGACTATGGCCTGCCTGTAACTCTGTAGAAAATCCTGAGACAGGACTGGGATTTGTAGCTTGTAATTAAATTCACACGTTCATGTAATAGTACTGTCTCAATTTATCATCTAGGCTTAAGTTGCTTTGGAAGAGCACTTCTGCAATCCTTTCTTAATTGTATGCGTCAGCCTGCTACTTTGGGAGTTATGCTTCTTGCTTGAAGCCTAGAAATCAGAATAAACAGGTGCTACAATGAAGAAAATTTATTCATCAGTAACTTTCATGCCTTATTTATGATATCAGTCCATCTTGCCTAGATGACTCTGGGGAAATGTGGCTGCTAAACATTTGTGGCCCTCCAGCTGCTGTTTAGAATGTTGGGTGCTGTCAAAGTCCCAGCAGTTGCTTTTTCCCCCTAAGTTCCAGGAACTGTAGTGGCAATTTATGTGCTACAAAACCGTTACTCTGTGCAGACAACATCCTAGGGTTAACTGATGAACAGCTTTCTTTTGCTACTGTTAGTTCTAGTTACTATAGTACCACTGAAATAATGCCAATATCGGGGGTACAAAGAGTTTTAAAAATGTGTATTTTTGACGTAAGAAATGATTCTCTGAATGATCTATTTTTGTGTTTGAAACAGGGTGCTAAGTCACGTGAAAAAGTGGTGAAGATCTTGGTATCAATGACACCAGATGAGGTTTTAGAGAAACTGAAAAAAGAAGCTTCCAGCTGACCTAAACAAAATCAGGAAATGGAACTTTGTGTTTTGGTAAACCACTTTTTTACTAGAAAAAGGGGGGATACTTTTCATTAAGAGATCATGCAGAAACAGGCTGTGGGTAACAGGACAAACAAACTCCAATATCTACAATACACAGACTCTCCTGGTGATGCATATTAAAACAGTTTTTGCCATGCTATTCTGTACTGAAAGCTTTCTTTGAAATATTCCTACAAAAGACCTGAAGCTTGTACTCATTTACAGCAAGACCCATTCTTGGCTGACACTGTAGCCTGGTTCTTTCGGTGCTTGCTTTTTTAGTTAGTTTCATAATAGTGCCCTGCATGTCCATCTAGTCTTGTTGAGGATTTGAGCAACGACTGAGAAGATCTTTGTTCTCCAAAAGCCACAGTCTGCCTTTGGGACTCTCCTGAAATTAGTGGTGTGTTTCTGGTATTGAGGCACCATATCTGCTCATGTCACCTGGGTATTTTACCTCCTTGGAAATACTCCTGTCATTGAGTCTTGCCCACTTTTCCTCATCCCTAAATAGTTTAGTTTTGATTTTGAATGCAGGTGTAATTATTTGTTTAAAAAAATAGAAGGCTAAAGTGACAGGCCTTGGAATAATGTCAAGAGAAATGTCAGGGAAGAATCTAGATGTCAAAGAATGCTTAGGGTCCATTCTACCCTTACTGTACCTCTGCAAATCCAAAATAATAACTTTGCAGAGGACTGATGCTGGTTAGCTGGACATGGAATTTTCTCTCAAATAAGTAACACAAAAATCAAGAAGTCCTGCAACAAGAATTTGACCTGGTATAACGTAAGTGGCATTACCATAAATAGTGGCACCAGCTATGTTTTTGCCTTGTGGTTGTCATTGCTTAGATTTTTGTCAGTTAACTTAGTCTCTGCAGTTTCCTGTTACTGTAATGTAAAATAAACTGGTTTTATAATTGTAATGTCTAAAATAAAATGAACTGGTATAAAAAGTCCATTGAGGTGTTCCGTATCTTCTACTGGAACAAAAACTTTTTTCTCAAATACAAAAGCAGTATTAAAATGACTTTAGCTGCATGTAATGCAACTGCTTCTCTTGTGCTTCTGTTTCCATGGTCCAAAATTGTCCTTAGGAGTCCCTGTTCCCTTCCACTTTCAGGAGTGTAAAAACAATTTGTGACTTATGTTATCAGTAGGGACCTTGGTTTTCTTTGTTTAAAAACGCAAATTCTCTGATTTAAAACCCCAAAATCTGCAATTAAAATGAAACACCACTATATGTATATGTATCAGTTGAACACAAGGTTTTATTGATATATTTACAATTTTTAAACAATTTGGCAGCCTACCAGAGCCTCAATCACTATAATAAAATAAATTCTAAGTACCTATACATTTTGGCATTTGAGTTTGGGTTTTTTGTCATGGAAAATCAGAGCTCTCCCT